TTGTCTTCAAGAAGTCCGGGGAGACCGGAAACTACTACAGCTCGGCAGCTCCGGGTATCGACAAGTCCTTGATCTACAAGTTCCCGGAATTGCTACACGGTTATATGCCAGAGTGGTTCTGGGTCGGCGGAGAGTGGAGGACTCCCAACGCAACCCGACACCCGTCTACTCAGTTCATTTCCGGCAAATGTGAGTGGCGTGTCTCATTTTGTTTCCTTCCTTCTAATTAAGTATTTTTCGGTGCTAACAGGTCGGTATTTGCCTTTAAGTCCATAACCCGCGTGTTGACTTAAGCGACGAGCTGGTCGAGAAGGTCAAGACTTTGTTGAACCTCGTGGACGGGAAGAGGCTTTATAGAGATCTGGTTGCCGAGGAGAGTTTGGTCCGGCACAATCTTAGCCCCGAGTACAACAGTAAGTCTTTCGAACCCGGTAATCCCTCGTTCCTTTTGAGTTATTGCGGATTTCCCTTTTTGCTTTGCTTTATCCCCCTCCTCTAACCTGTATGAGTGGCCACCTTACTTCAGGCTTTACCAGTGTATTACCCGCTCCGGCGTCAGTGCGGGTTCAGCTCGGTCAAGGAAGCTTCCAAACACGCCCGCGCCAATCCGAACCCGCTCAAGGGAAGAAAAATGGCCAGCCGTATGGATTTCTTGACGAGGCAAGGGAAGAAAAAGTCCTCGGGATCCGACTCTGCCGGGACCTCGGCACCCGCGCCGCCGAAGCCGTCTGCCGAGACCGTTCCCCCACGGGAAACCNCAGGGCGCTCTCCCACGACAGAGGAAGTGCCGGCTCCTCGCAGAAGAGCCGGAGGACGCCGAGGAGGGGGGCGCCGAGATGCAGGATGTGGCACCGCCGTCCCCAAAGAAAAACAAGGCAGCCGAGGCCGAGAAGACCGCCATAGCGCGCGAGTCGTCGGCTTTCGTACACCAGGCCGGGTCCTCCACCTACATTCCGGTGAATCCAAGCCGCAAGGCCAGCCTTTCCAAGCGTCTCGAGCGGTTCCCCGACCAATGGTTCATAGACTCGAGGTCGGCAGTTCCGCTCGACTTGCCAAACCCCCATCGTCTGCCGGGGGACGTGATGTCCGCGGCGCGCGCCGTGATGACGTTCTGGACTCCGGTGGCGGAGACGGCGGTGGCCATGCTCTCCCCGACACAGCTTATCCAACACTCAATGGCGACCATGGGCCGGGCCATGGTCGAGCTGGTGCACGCTGCCGGGGCGATGCAAAAGGAAGTGGCTGCCCATGACAAGGCCGAGGAGGATCTTGCTACCGCTAAGGGCCGGATCAGCGAGCTGAAGGACGAGCCAAGAAGGTCTCGATGCTGGAGAATGAGCTTGTCCTTCAGCGAGGGGCTGCCGTCGTGGCGGAAAAGGCGGCCGCCAAGGCCGTGGAGGATTTGGCCCGCGAGAGGGCGGCGTGGATCGAGCAGATGGACGAGCTAGAGATGAAGCGGGCGGTCGAGCTGTCGGAGAGTGAGAAGCGCCGAGCTGACGAGGTGGCCGGGCTGGAGGAAAAGCACAAAGCCGACCTCGCCCATCTCGCCGAGCTGCATGCCGCCGAGATCGCCGCGCTTAAAAAGAAGCATGAGGAGCAGATCTCCGAGCTGGTGGATTATGGAAAGAGGATGACCTCCCAGGTCTGCCTTCTGAAAGAAGCCGCCAAACAGATAGACGGCGATCCTATTGCTCTCCCTCCGCCGGCGACTTTTGCCGAGGTCCAGGCTCAATACTTTGAGGAGATGAGGGAGAGCATGGACATGGCGGTGGCCTTCAACCTCTACTGGTTGTTCCAACGGCTTGACGCTAGGGTGCTGTCCCTCGACGACTTCAGGGCCAGATCTGCGAGGTCGATGCCGACGAGGCCGTGGTGGTTCGGAGGCTTCGAGGTTGGGCCGACGACGTCATTGTCGGCTTCGAGAAGTTCGGCGCCATCCTCTCTTTGCAGACGTGGCGGTTGGCCCCCGGGGAGCTCCTTTCGGGCTATAAGTCGTTCTTGCCCGAGGCCGACCCAGATCCCGAGTTCCAGCCGAGGCGCGGCGCCGTTCTGACGGTGGTCGCGGAGATGGAAGAGGTTGAGGAAGCGGCTGCCGTGGCGAAAGCGGCGATGGATGCCGAGGCGGGGGTCGGCACCTCGGGGACGAAAGAGGTGGGGGCTGAGGAAGCGGCTGCCGTGGCGAAGGCGGCGGCGGCGGCGGCCGAGGCTGAGGTGGCGGCCGGTACAACAGGTGCCGAGGAGGCGGAAGTCGACGCCGAGTTTGTTCTTGAGGGCCCCGACCTCGTCACCTGAGGATGTATGCCGGCCTACGTGCCTTGATATTTTGACCGCATGTGGTCTTGTTTTGCAAAACAATTTGTCTATGTAACGAATATTTCAATTTCATCTTGAATGGTCGAAATGCTTGTTTTTATGTCGGATGTGTTTACTTTTATTTATGTTGAATGTGTTTGTAGTTTTTAATCATTTGGGCGACCGAGCCCCGTGGTCGGGCTCGGTGCCTTCTATTTACTGCGCCGAGCCTCGAGATTGGGCTCGGTACTTTTTAATTACTTGGCCGAGCCTCGAGATTGGGCTCGGCGCTTTTTAATTACTTGGCCGAGCCTCGAGATCGGGCTCGACGCTTTTTAACTACTTGGCCGAGCCTCGATTGGGCTCGGCTCATTTTATTCACTTGGCGCATTACATGTCCGATTCGTTCGTTGGATCGGGCGATGGTTTGGCCATATCGGGCTTCGCGTTCGAGCCCGTCGTTCATTCCTTACGTTGGCGCTATGGCCTTACCGGGCTACTTTGCCGAGCCCGGCTCGTGCCGGCCGAGCCATCGTACTGACCCGACCTGCACATAATTATGTGGCAGCTTACCTGTCCGGTCTCGCGTTCGGACTCGGAGGTATTCTTAGCCTGACTGGGCTTGCTAGTTGAGCCCAGCTAGTGCCGACTAGGTCATCGTACTGATCCTGGCCGACACTTTGTTCCTTACGTTAATTACGCCGCATCGACTCAATCTATACTTACTAAAGGCAAACGTAAAAATCATACATCTCTACAAGGTTCGTCCGTCTTTTACAAGGTAGAATTACGAAATGAAAGTACAAGACTATCCTAGACCTACTGGTTGATGCCGTGCTCTTCCGTTGCCGTGCTCTTCGCAAAAGGTTCAAGAAGAAGTGTTTGATGCCATGCTTATGGCGCCCTCCTTCTAGCGCCAAACTGTTGACGGACGTTTCCGGTCAACGGTTAAAGAAGATAAATGGCGAAAAAGTAACGTGAAAAGACGAGGGATACGGTTTAATTACGGTTTTATTAACGGATCACGAGGTCGGCACTTGCGATATACTTACAGATTCTTATACAAATTCTTACAAGTCTAGAGAGAGAAAATATAGAGAAAGCTAGGACAGTTGGGATTCAACAACCTCAAATTAAATGAAGTGGGCTACTATTTATAGTGACCTTAAATGTGGCACTGTTCAGGTACTGTTCACCGATCTTGTCATACAGTGTCTTTGCAGAGCAATCCGGCGCCTCCCTGACAGAATTCAATGCGATTTGAGGTTTTCCTTATCATTGCCTTGGCAAAAAGTTTGGGGGTCATTTGATGCTGGCAGGCTTTATGTCTTGGCTAGTGGATGTAGGCCAGTAGGCTAGGACGCCCCGTCCAATCACCAATGATTGCTCTCCAAGTGACATTATTATATTGTTATTGAGATCGACATCCGTCATGGAAGATCCGTTCTGAGACCTTAGGTCGGCTCCTGTTTCCATTTTACTCCTTCGGTCCTGGCGAGTTTCCCTCCAGTTCGCCACTCATCAGGCCGGCACCGGCACTTAATTGTCGCAAACGCCGGGCTAACGGATAGACCCGTGGGGGTGTCATGGTCAAAAAGTTTCGGAGTCCAGCTCGGCACCTACGCGCTAGACCGGGTCTCCGGTTCGGCTCTCGAAGCTGCCTTGTCCGATTTCTTTTGGCGGCGAACTCGGGTGTCAACATCTATATAGTTTATCTATATAGTAGTAATAATGTCTTTAGTTATTCACAAATGCAAAAAATTATGTTATTATCAAAACATTTTTGGCAAAAGTTTCAAGGAGTGTCATTAATGTGACAAATACTAATTTCCACTTATTATCACAAATGTTTTATTAAGTTGAATTTATTTAGTTTGAAAATATTTAATACAACACATATAATATTTTATAGTCATACTCTCTTATATGTTGTTTCTATAGTCACGGTTCCCTATTGTCTAATTATTATTATTTTATGATGGTAATGGTAATAATGAATACAGTTCATCACTAATAATGTTATATTTTAGAGAAACATTTTAAAATATAATGAATAAAATTTTCATCTTAGTTTCTATTATCTCTCTACATAATTTATGAATATTTATTTGTTTATTTAAATTATAGCTAATTCACATTATTTTTTAACATCAGGCTGCCCACGTGCGAGTAGCATACTACTCTCACTGAAATAAGTCAATAACAACTGTTAGATCGGTGACCCAGTGACCGCGGGGATCAATTTCCGCGCCTAACAACTACATGATGTGAGAGGTACACCGTACACGTGGCAAGGAATCAAATTTTCCCACCAGATTTTTTTACAATAATAGTCAACTACACCTACAGCCTATAGCAAATAAAAAAATGGTCGCCACTTGATATTGACAAACTCTCTCTGTTTTCTTCTTCTCTCCATTTCGAAAACCCTCAACTTT